CCCCCCCCCCCCCCGCCGTGGTTTTCAGGGGACCCGTGACCGCGGCATAGGAGCTCACCATAGAGCCCGTAGAGCAGACGAAGAACGTCCGTCTGCTCTGTGTGATCACTGAGACCGTGGCGCTGTAATCGCAGTGTAATCACAGCGCCACCTATCTCGGCTGTCAGGAACTACACATAACCCTCCCTAGCTGTGTCTTGTGGAGCGAAAAATACGGTCATTGTTTTTATTTGGCTTGCAGTGGAATGGGGAGCCCAAAGATTAAAGGAGAACTATGAGGGGGGAGGGGGGGGGGGGGCTTTCCACTCACCTCATAGTTCTAGCCGACCTGTGACAATGAGACTGTCACAGGTCGGCTCAGTAGATCGGGAGGTGAGGGAACACATACCGGCGTTCGCTCACCTCTCGATCCTGTCTCGACTCTCTGCCGTGACAGGGGGAGGGGCTGGATTCCCCTCTCCCCACTCCGATCCGACTGGCGGAATGGACGGGAGAGGGGGCGGGTACAGCTGGCTCTGCCTCTAGATAGGTAGAGCCAGCTGTCACTCACCCAGGCTCTGCCTATCTAGGGATATCTAGGCTCTGCCGCACCAGGGACCCCGCACATCACAGCGGCAGCTGAGACCCCCCCATGCGTCACTGCACCAAATCAGACAAGAAAAACAAATGGCAAACGCGCTCATCAACTCGTCACCGGCTTTACAGCAAGGTGCTTTTTGTTTGCATGCTGGCTGGTGAGTGTGCTGGGAAACTTTTTGCTGTTGCACTGTATAAAGCCCTTCCATGTGCACCTTGCTTTAAAGGAGAACTGTGGGGGTCAGTGTTTTCCCCCATAGTTCTCCTAAGGGTCACGGGAGGACACAAACTAGCGTCCTCCCGTCACCCGAAGCTCAGTATATAGGGAGCTACAGCTCGCGTGATACTGAGACTGCCGCAGCCGGGAAGGATCGCGACATTACTGTCGGGATCCGCCCAGCTGCGTGAGTGACAGCTGGTTCTGCCTATCTAGAGGCAGTGCCAGCTGTACCCGCCCCCTCCCCCGTCCGTTCCGCCAGTCGGCGCTGGAGGATCAGAGCGGGGAGGGGGGGAATCCCTGCAGGGAGCCATGAGTGACGGTATGTGTTCGCTCACTTCCCGATCTATTGAGCCGACGTGTGACAGCCTCATTGTCACAGGTCGGCTAGAACGATGAGGTGAGTGAAGATCAATCACCTCATAGTTCTCCTTATGAGTTGATGAGTGCGTTTTGCCATTTGTTTTGCTCCACTGAATAGGGGCCCCCCAGCGGTAGGTTTTGTGTCCCTTTGAGGCAGTTAAAGTGCAGTTTACAGTTCCAGTTGTGAACGGGCGCTAGGATATTAGGTATCGGGTATTACAGGGTCATCACACGGTGCAGTTAATGTAACCCGTCTGCACACCCCCGTCGGTAAACCACGCCCTCTTTTGTTTTCCCGCAGGTTTCCGGAGAGTGTGCCTGGACGACCTGCGCAAAGCTCACATCGTGCGTGACGTCCAGCAGTACATCCTGTGCCGCCTGGACCGCGAGGAGACTCTGCGGCAGCACCTGACCCTGGACACCGCCGAGATGCTCAACCAGCTTCACATAAAGAGCAACGGCTGCTTCCTGTACCTGAAGCGCGTGCTGGACGGGGTGTCCGAGGGCTCCATCCTCCTCCGGGAGGTCCGCCACATCCCCGGGACTCTGAACGGGCTGTACCTGTGGATGTGCCAGCGCCTGTTCTCCGGGCGCCAGTTCTGTCAGGTGCAGACCTTGCTGAACGTCATCCTGGCGTCGCCGTCTCCGCTCTCGCCTTCCCAGCTGCACAGAGCCGTGTGGACCAAACAGATGAAAGGCTGGAGTGTGGAGGACTTCAACAAGGTCTTGGAGTCCGTCTCTTCCCTGCTACACCCAACGGGGGTTCCTCAGAACTGGCTGGTGCTCTTCCATCACAGTTTCTCCGAGTGGCTGCTGGATGTAAAGTACTGCACACAGAAGTATCTCTGCAGCGTACCGGAGGGCCACAGCATGCTGGCCATGAGCTTATCCGCGAGGGCCCCCAGTTTGTCCCCTGCTGAGGTCCAACAGCTGGCCAGGCACCTCCTGATGTCTGACCTCCGAGGGCTAGATCCCTCTCACTTGGCTCTGTGGCTTTTGTGGACCGGAGTTCCTGTATCAGATTGTTTGGCCTCTGACATTCCCCTGGAACTGGAAGTTTTGCAGCTGCTGCTCCTAGCCAGATCTAAAGTAGACGGAATTCCAACTGTAGAAGACTCCAGAGCCCTGAGAAGGACCCTGGAACGCGCCGGCTCGGTGGAAATGATGTTGGATGGCGGAGGTAGTCTCAACAAACGGGATCGAGCTGGACGGACCCTGCTGGCTGCAGCAGCCCATGTTGGGAATTTGGAAGCCGTGATCCTCATGATTTCCAGAGGAGCCAATCTAGAGGCCACAGATGAAGATGGACAAACACCTCTAGGCTTGGCAGCTCACCGGGGCCACCTTGGGATCATTGAGCTCCTGCTTGAACACGGTGCCCGTCATGATCACACGGACAGTCGGGGGTGGACCCCCCTGCGGGCCGCCTCCTGGGGAGGCCACACGGAAGTGGTGGAAGCACTTCTTGCTGTTGGAGCTCAACCCGATGTCTCTGGCCGCGACGGACGCACCGCGCTCAGGGCAGCAGCCTGGGGAGGGCACGAGGGGCCTGTGAAGGCCCTGCTAAGAGCCGGAGCCAGGATAGACCATGCCGATGTGGAGGGCAGGACTCCCCTAATGGCTGCTGCATACATGGGCCATCGCGCCGTAGCAGAACTCTTGCTGGAATCTGGGGCTGATGTGAATAAGTTTGATTTGGAGGGCCGAACTGCCCTTGCCGTAGCCTGTCTGTGTATGCCCGCTGGGAACATGTACCCAGAGATGGTGTCACTGCTACTGGAACATGTTGCCGATCCCGAGCTGGAAGATAAAGAGGGAGTCACACCACTACTGGTCGCCGCCTATGAGGGGAAAGAAGAGGTAGCAGAACTTCTGCTCGAGGCAGGCGCCAACCCTGACAAACCTGGCAAGGGTCAGATGACACCACTCCTGGCAGCTGCCTTAGGGGGCCACTCTGAAACGGTCCGGGTCCTGCTTCTGTGGGGTGCCACCACTGACATGATGGATAATGAGGGGAGGTCGGCGCTCCTGTTGGCAGCTGCTGCCGCTGGAGGAGAGCAGGCCGTCAGGGTGTTGATGGACAGAGGGCTTAACGAGAATCACCAGGATCTACTGGGATGGACCGCACTGCACTGGGCAGCCTGCGAGGGCCGGAAAAATGTCTGTCGCACCCTGATAGAAGGAGGGGCCAAGCTGGGCATTAGAGACAGTGAGGGGAACACACCTCTCCTGCTGGCAGCTCAGGAAGGGCACACGGGCTGTGTAGAGTTACTGATAAACCGTGGATCCCCTGTAGACCAACGTGGCAGTGACCACATGACGGCTCTATGTTTTGCAGCTCTCGGGGGCCACAAAAGCACAGTGAAACTACTACTGAAAAAAGGAGCAGACCCCGATGTGAAGGCCAGTCAGGAGAAGCCCCTCCTGTACCTGCTGGCTCTGCAAGGACTGACGGACATGGCTGAAATTTTGTTTGACCACGGAGCCAACCCCGAGGTGAGAGACTTGGAGGAACGCACGGCTTTGCACGCCTCCTGCTGGCAAGGAGACTGGGAAATGGCACGCATCCTTCTACTAAAGGGCAAGGCCAACTGCAATGCCTTCGACAGGGAAAGAAGGACTCCGTTACACTGTGCCTCGTGGAGAGGGCATGTCAATATCGCCCACCTCCTTCTAGAAAATGGGGCTTTTGTTGATGCCCAGTGCTTACAAGGAGCTACCCCCCTCTGTATCTCTGCTCAAGAGGGACACGAAGAGCTGGCCAAGGTGCTGCTGGATGAGGGAAAGGCCAGCCCCTTCCATGCAGACCACTATGGACGCACGCCGATAAGGGTTGCAGCCAAAGGAGGACACCTCTCCATTGTAAACCTCTTGGAGAAACATGGCGTTCCACCATACAAAGGCTTGATGGGAAATCGTCCAGAGAAAGACACTATTCAGAAAGGAGTGGTGGAAGGGAGTGGTGGTAGCTGGTCTACACTTTCTCCAGTGTCTACAGGTAGCCAATCACTGGACAACTCTCTAAAGAGCTCCAAAGGATCAATATTAACCTCATCCACTTACCACTCTCAGGCAACCGTGCCAGCAGACAGTCTGACTTTCACCCAGCAGGTTCAGCAGCACTCTCTTCCTCGCAGCCGTTCGCGCCAAGCCTTGGCCCTCACTGGCGTGCTTAGTGGCCAAGTCCTCTCTGAACTGAAACTCGCCCAAGTTTCACCTGCGTCAACCCTAGATCAGACCTCCAGCCCCCATCACGATCGGGACAGATCCGAAGTGGTTGGTGTGCTCTCTAGGAACCCAAGTTCCCCAGACCGCGAGTTAAAGAGGAACGGTATTCTCACAAACCCAAAATATGGCAGCCCCACTTATTCTCGTTTCAAGGCCGGCGATTGTATCTTCTCTCCAAACCGGACCTCCAGCCCCAAGTCCTACAACAGGCCAACAGACCCCGAGGACGACCAAAACAAAATCAGCAGTTCTGGATATTCTTCAAGCCAAGCAGGCACAGAGAGGGATCGGACCTACAAACAGACTGCGGACTCGGCGGAAAACACTAAAAATGTTACGCAATTCCCTACCAAAACCGGGAAACCGGCGACTTCACCCCAGAAAATTGGGACTTCTGGGTATTCTCCGTGGAAGAGTTCTCCTATGACCCCCTCCACGAAAACCATGGAACCTGTTTATCCCCTAAAGAAGACCCCAAATCAAGTGTCGCCCCCTCAAAAGTGCGAGGACCCCATCTACTTTGCGAAAAAGCCTGTGGACTTTGTGTTCTCTCCTATGGGAGCTCCAGATGGTGCGTCCTCACCTGTTGGAACCGCAACGGAACCACAATATTGTACGACCACGGACCAAACCGGCTCGCCAAGCCCACTGAACTCTCCAGTTATCTCCATGACCACTATGGACCCTCAGCTCCACCTTAAGCAGGTCATCAAGCTGCAGTTCGAGGGGCGCACGTGTGGATTTAACTTCAGGAAGGAGACTCCACTGTGAGGTGGGTACGGTAACTACATGCATTCCTTCAATTGTAGCAGCACCTTATCTGCCAATATATGTGATGCCTTCAACATTTGTTAGCTGGCTTCTGATATTTTTTTTAAACAGTTAATAGGTTTCAATGTCTGGGAGATTTTCCCTTACTTCCTGCTTCTGTGACACCTGTACAAGAAATGGGGGGGGAAAGGGTTGTCACCAGGATGGAAGGGCACAGTCGGCAGTAGAATTGTCAGACGTTCCCACCCTTTCCCACTCTAGTACTAAAGTGTTTCTGTCTGTGTCCTCATTGGAGAGATTTCCCATCACTTCCTGACCTAGCAGGAAATCGGGGTAAATCCCGCCCCCAATATGGACACAGATGGCAATGAAAATCTGACCAAACTTGAAGCACGACATTTTCTTAGGACAGATTTGGGAAGGGTTGAACCCTCTGTTAGATTTTTCTTGCGTGCTGTATCCCTACCGGGGAGATCTCTTCACTTCCTGTGGTAGTCGCCAGGACAGGAAGTGAGGTGAGGTCTCAGTGGGGGCCCAGTTGGCAATTAAAATATGGCAGAGGTCATAAACCTTCCCCACTCCAACCAAGTCAATAAGTTGGAGTTCAGTTTTAAAGGAGAAGGTGGACCTTTTGTGTAAGGTCCCTTTCGAGGCAGCAGAAAAGGAGGGGGTCCAAGACCTTCTTGGTGTGTCCTAGTTGGGGGGGTCCAAGACCTTCTTGGTGTGTCCTAGTTGGGGGGAGGTCCAAAAAGGGGGGGCGTAGGAGGGAGACACTGTCATTTCAGGATGGCCGAGTGGGGAGGAGAGAGAGCCAGCGGCTGTCAGATTCGGGATGGCTGATCGGCTCAGGATGGAGAGTGGAGAATCGGTATATATGTGTAATATTTACTCCAATAGTTCTAAACAACTGGGGACACATAGGGGGAATTTATCAAAACCGGAGCAGCTGTGCACGACAACCAATCAGCTTCTCTCTTTTATTTTTCAAATCTTAACTGAACAAACTGAGGAGAGAAGCTGATTGGTTGTTGTGCACAGCTGCTCCGGTTTTGATAAATGCCCCTCAATGTACTATGTGTCCCCAATTATGAATAAACAGGAAGTGCTTTACATCACTTCCTGTTAATTCATGAGTTTCTGAATGGAGAGAAACCTACTTCAGTGCCTTCTACCCATTCATAAACTGGCTGATAATAAATATTTACTATCCAGTTTGTGAATGAATGGGAAGACTCTGTGTGGGCTCCACCCACACCTCTAGCATGTCCTCAGGCTCTAACCTCACCTCTAGCATGTCCTCAGGCTCCAACCTCACCTCTAGCATGTCTTCAGTCTCCAACCATACCTCTAGCATGTCCTCAGGCTCCAACCTCACCTCTAGCATGTCTTCAGTCTCCACCCGCACCTCCAGCCTGCCCTCGGTCTCCACCCGCACCTCCAGCCTGCCCTCGGTCTCCACCCGCACCTCCAGCCTGCCCTCGGTCTCCACCCGCACCTCCAGCCTGCCCTCGGTCTCCACCCGCACCTCCAGCCTGCCCTCGGTCTCCACCCGCACCTCCAGCCTGCCCTCGGTCTCCACCCGCACCTCCAGCCTGCCCTCGGTCTCCACCCGCACCTCCAGCCTGCCCTCGGTCTCCACCCGCACCTCCAGCCTGCCCTCGGTCTCCACCCGCACCTCCAGCCTGCCCTCGGTCTCCACCCGCACCTCCAGCCTGCCCTCGGTCTCCACCCGCACCTCCAGCCTGCCCTCGGTCTCCACCCGCACCTCCAGCCTGCCCTCGGTCTCCACCCGCACCTCCAGCCTGCCCTCGGTCTCCACCCGCACCTCCAGCCTGCCCTCGGTCTCCACCCGCACCTCCAGCCTGCCCTCGGTCTCCACCCGCACCTCCAGCCTGCCCTCGGTCTCCACCCGCACCTCCAGCCTGCCCTCGGTCTCCACCCGCACCTCCAGCCTGCCCTCGGTCTCCACCCGCACCTCTAGCCTGCCCTCAGTCTCCACCCGCACCTCTAGCATGTCCTCTGTCTCCAACCGCACCTCTAGCATGTCCTCTGTCTCCAACTGCACTTCTAGCATGCCCTCGGTCTCCACCCGCACCTCTAGCATGTCCTCTGTCTCCACCCGCACCTCTAGCCTGCCCTCAGTCTCCACCCGCACCTCTAGCCTGCCCTCAGTCTCCACCCGCACCTCTAGCCTGCCCTCAGTCTCCACCCGCACCTCTAGCCTGCCCTCAGTCTCCACCCGCACCTCTAGCATGCCCTCTGTCTCCACCCGCACCTCTAGCCTGCCCTCAGTCTCCACCCGCACCTCTAGCCTGCCCTCAGTCTCCACCCGCACCTCTAGCCTGCCCTCAGCCTCCACCCTTATTTGAGATTCATGGTAACTGGAATGAACCCGCACACCAGAGAAAGAGTTTCCAAATCTTACAATAGTTTACATTCTTCAGCATGAAGTGTGAGATTCCTATAGACCTTGTACAAGAAACCACACAAAGCTCTAAGATAGATAGCAGATCAGGGGTGTGGAATTCCTGTCGCCTGACGCCCTGGACATGCAGTTTCTGGGGGGCCGGGCGAGTAGTTTTTTTGTACATTTAGCAATGCACCACCCCCCCCCTCCGTGGTTTTCGGGGTCTCCCGCTCTTCTGGGGTACCCGGGACCATGGAACATGAGCTCACCATAGAGATTGTAGAGCAGAGCAAAGAATGTCCGTTCTTTGCTCTGCTCTGTGTGATCAGTGAGACCGGAGTGCTGTAATCACAAGGCAATCACAGCGCCACCTGTCTCAGCTGTCAGGAACTGCACAGAACGTCTGCTCTGTATTAGAGGGCAGGTTCCATAAAGAGAACCTGTCACCTCCAAACTATCACATAGGGGATTGTAATCCCCCCCATGTGATAGGAATAAAAGTGAAAAATAAATTTAAAAAAAGTGATGAAAAAGTAAAATATATAAAAATAATTAAAAAATTAAAACCAACCTCGCTGCCCCCGCCATGTGCATGCAAATAAACGCACGCGTAGGACATTGTGTGTGTGTGCGCGCGTTGAGTGCTGCCGCCATTCCAATGTGTGCTATATTGTGGTAGCCAGGCAACAGAACTCTCCTACATGCACAATGTGCATTAAAGGGTGAGTTCACTTTCCCAGGTAATACGGGAAAATGGAATTACCTGATCAAATCTGGCCCTGTCTCTCCCAACCCCCCTCCTTCCCCACCAGGTACTATCTGTACCCCGTACTGCTGTCCAGCGCATTCCTGCCCGATGCATTTTGAATTTCGCTTGCAAATTGCAAGCATCACATCATTGGTCAGCGTGTCAGGTGACCCTGCTGACCAATGAGAAGCGCTATTTAGCACAGTCAAATACAGTTTTGATTAGGGATGCTCCGATACCAGGTACTCGTACTCGCCCAAATGCTCCGATACTTTCCCCAATACCGGAACTTCCGGTCAGAGGAACATTTCCTCTGACCGGCAGTGCCGTAGGGGAACATGGAGCCAGCTTCCCGTGCAATCAGGATGGCGAGTAATGGCCGCCTCTCGGTTTCCTGTTTTGCCGGGAAGCCGGCTCCTTGGTGATTTGACTGGGAAGCTGACTTCCTGGCCAATCAGCATCCAGCCAATCAGGTCATTACTCGTCTTCCTTATTGGCCAGGAAGCCAGCTCGGTGCTGATTGGCAGGGAGGCTGGTTTGCCAGCCAATCACAATCAGGCCGGGTAAACAACACGGAGCCGGCTTCCCTAGCAAACAGGAAGCCGGGTGGCATGCCATTTACCTGCTGCCCAGCTTCCTGATTGCCCGGGAAGCCGGCTCCATGCCAACGGAAGCACCGGTATCGGTACTCGTTATCGGCGAGTACCGAAAGCAGAATATGGGCATTCGTACTCAATATCGGAAAACCGCTATCAGCCCATCGCTAGTTTTGATCAGAACTATTTTTTTTTGGGTATCGGGACAAGTAGATCGGGCCCCAGCTTTAGCCCTCGGGCAAGTAGTTGTTTTTTTTTTTTTATTTCCACACCCCTGCAGACCATGTGGAGTCCCAGTGAACACATGGGGAAAAAAAAAGACGAAGAGATTGTTCGCTCCTTTGTGATAGCAATAAAGTTAAGTGGGGAAAACCAAAAAAAATTTATTAAAAAAAATAATGAAATAAAAATTGAAAAAAATAAGAAATAATTAAATAACAAAAATAGGTGATTAAAAAGTAAAAAAATAAGAAATAATGAAATAAAAAAAATTGGTGATTAAAAAGTAAAAAAATAATAAGAAAATAATTATAAAAAATAAACCATAATAAGATGAAAAAATGATATTGAAAAAATTAATATAAAGTAAACGATAAGATAGATAAAAATGTAAAAAAGTAAAAAAAAAATTAAGTAAAAAGAAACAATAAAAATCGTTTTTTAAACTAACCCTGCTGCCCTGACACCCGATTGCCATTCTCCATTGATTGGGCGGGGAGGGGGGCGCATAGCGGAACCTAGCCTTGAGGTGGCAGGAAGAGAAAATCCGGCCCTGACTGAGTATAAACTAGCGTGAGATTCTAGAACCGTCTTTCTCTGGCGTGCTGACTTCTCTGGGATGCTGCGTGTGGGTGGAGGACTTCCTTTGTTGAGGTCTTCCTTTGCAGAGGGGTTTCAGCGCCCGAAAAACATACTGCTTACTTTGGATGTATAACCCGTTGGTTGTCCATTCATATCCACTAACTGGGGGTGACGATTTGGGGCTATCGGCATCGGACTCACCAATCTCTGTGTTCACAGGTCCCGTCCTCCCGTCCCTAAATCCGAATCAGCATGGCGGAGAGCTGCGATGGGACCTCGGGAGTGGTGCAGTGCCGGGCATCACGGAAGGAGAATGGAGGAGACGCCGGCTTGTGTGGGAGGACTCTGGAGGAGCAGAGATGTTACGGTCTGGTGGTGCCATGGAGGCTGTGGGCAAGCTTGCCAAAGCTCCTCCCACCCGTGACTACGGATGGAACTCGGGGAAATT